TGTGTGTGTGTGTGTGTGTGTGTGTTCATGTGTGTGTCTCTGTAAGTGCGGCGTCTTGTTTCACGAGGTCATTTACCTTTCACGCGCGTATGCATGCTTATGTACATTCACACTGGCCTCGACAGTGGAGCGCGTGCCTCGTGGCACCTGTTTGGTACGAACACACGGGCCTCCACAGTGGAGAGAGTCTTCGCAAGGTGAGTGTGTGTGTGTGTCTCACTGTGTGACTGACGCATACACACACACATGTGCCCAACTTTCGCTCACTCTAGCACACACACACACACACACACACACACACACACACACACACACACACACACACACACACACACACACACACACTCACGCACTTCTGCCTTCTCCACATCAGGCGAAGAAGAAAGACACGCTGGTGCTGGTCACGGCGCTGGCAGACACTGTCGTATCTCTCAGCATGGTTGAAAAGCACCTGCAAGTGAAGAACCTGCGCATGGCTCGACCAGAGACGCTCACAGAAACGCTCGGTGTGTGTGTGGATGTGTGTGGATGTGTGTGGATGTGTGTGTGTGTGTGTGTGTGTATGTGTGTGTGTGTGTGTTCGTGTTGTTGGGGGCGGCTTGGACGAAGGACACTGGTTGTATGTACCCTTCACATCACACCCTGGGCACCTGTGTTGGTGGCTGTGTCGAGGGTATATTCCCGCTGCCCGTCTGCCATGTCCATGCTCCCATCACACTGCCCGTTGTCACACGCTCCTTTCAAACTCTTCTCAACTGCCACTGAATGGCGTGTGGTTGGCTGTGCAGGTCTGCAAGGCGGCGCTGTAACCTCGCTTGGACTCATCAACGACAAGGAGCATCGCGTTCACGTGTACTTTGATCGTGCCATGATCGCCGCTGGCAAGGTCAACGACATCCTCGTGCACCCGACATCTGGCAACGACATCACGCTCGCCATCTCTGCTCCGGCGCTGCTCTCATATGTTGCCAGCTGCGGCCACACGGCACACCTCATGGACTTTGACACAGGCGACGTTGTCGACGCGTAGCAAAGTGTGTGTGCGTGCGTGCGTGCGTGCGTGTAATTGACGAGAAGAGGACAACCGGTGGAAGCAAGAGAGTGCCGTGTGTATTGTACTGCCAATGAACAAGACAACAGCAAACCAAGAAACAACAAACGCAGGTGGAAATGATGTGGCGTGACAATGGTAATCACAGCACGCAAGCAAGCACGCAAGCAACAAGTCAACTACTACGACAGAAAGAACAAGAAGATGAAGGTGTCAGAGAAGCAGCGAGGAGCGGCGACGGAAGAGGTGACACACAACGACAACCAAGGATGACGATGATGCGATGATCAGAAGTTTGAGACGAGGAGGTTGGAGACAATGACAGATGCAGCATCGACAGACGCGCGCACAGTAAACCGGATCATCTAGACAGGCGTGGTACGTGGGCATGGACAGAAAGAAGGGCACATCATGTGAGTGTCGCGAGAGGCGAGTACACGTGGTGACATCAGTGCAAGACAGACAGACAGATAGACAGACAGGCACGCACGCACACATACACTCGCACACACACACGCATACACACACACACGCATACACACGCACACACACACACACACACACACACACACGCACACACACACACACACACACACACACACACACACCTGGGCCTCGACGTTTGGTTCGACGCGAAGAAGGGTGCCAATCTGCGCGTTGGTGGTGTGGATGATGCCGGCGCACACGAGATTCTGCGGCTTTGGGTCAATGTCGGGCATGGTGGGTAGCCCAAACGACACAACCTGACGCGCACGGCGTGCAGTGGAGGGGTGTGGCGTGAGGTTGTGGCAGTGTTGACTGAGGGTGGCTGGTTGCTGGAAGGGGAAGGAGACGAGAGGAGGGCAGGCAGGACGAGGGGAAGGAGGCCTCGCGCGCACATCACACGCACATGAACGTTTCAACACATGAAACACATGGAACACAGACACACAGATGCCACCGACGACGACGATGACGACCAACCTTTTCGTGGAGCTGATCAAGGACAATGGGCTCCTTTGCCTTGATGATCTGGCGCACCTCGCGCGGGGGCCCGCCGAGCTGGTTCCACTTCTTGAAGAAGGTTGGCGCATCCATCGGCGCAGTCAGCGGCTCGATAAACTTGTTGAGCATGACTGGCAGCTTGAGGGCGAGCACAACGGCTCGGCCCTGGTACTTGAGCGAGACCTCAAGCACGGGGGCGTCGCTGAAGTATGTGACGCATTCGACGTTGATCTGCTGCTGCAGCTGCACCCCGGGCGGAATCGTCGCGTCAATCGGCCGCGCATCAATCTGATGGTGGTGGTGGTGGTGGTGGTGATAGGTGTGGTGATGTGACGTGTGTGTGTGTGTGTGTGTGTGTGTGTGTGTGTGTGTGTGTGTGTGTGTGTGTGTGTGTGTGTGTGATGTGATGTGTGTGTGTGTGTGATGTGTGTGATGTGTGTGTGAACGTGGAAAATCAGGAGAAAGAGGAAGAACGAGAAGGGGGGGGGTTTGATTATGGGTTACATCGCACCGGATAACGCAGAACAAAACAAACAGCCAGCATCCGCCACCGCCACCGCCACCACACCACCACCATCCTCGTCATCATGATTGATCGGTATCGTACGGAGAGCGCATCTGGGGCGTTTGGCACGAATGCGCGGGTGGTGACGCCGGTCATTGGCGCATCGCCGCGGTTGCCGTAGAACACAGTCAGCCGACCTGGTCATGGTGGTGACGACGGGCGATGATGGTGATGGCGGTTAGCATGGTGGTGATGTCGTGGAGTGCATTGGGTGGGATTGGATGAGAGGGGGCGCTCAACACGCTCAAGCTGACAGAGCAGTAGGCAGACAGCGCTGTCATGGGGGCAGCGCCCAGGTGTAACTCGTGTGCGTGTGCGTGCGTGTGCGTGCGTGCACATCGTTGATGAGGCAAACCGTACCGAGGTTGCCGTGGAATTCGCTCTTGACGCCAATCTGCAGCACGGGGTTCTCGTACAGCACACCGTCGTTCACGAGCGTAAACCTTAAGTTTGGTGAAGGAGGGGAGGGGGAGTGCACGTGAATATGTATGTGACTGTCTCTCAGTCTGTCAGCCCCCACCTCTCTCTCTCTCTCTCTCTCTCTCTCTCTCTCTCTCTCTCTCTCTCTCTCTCTCTCTCTCTCTCTCTCTCTCTCTCTCTCTCTCTCTCTCTCTCTCTCTCTTTGTCTCCGTGTCTCTGTAGCCTCGTCCACCACGACTGTCTCTCGTGCGCAAGAACTGACTTGTCGAAGAACGGGTCGTTGTTGATGACGGTGGTCTCCGACTTGGCGGGGACAGCAGAGTGCGCGGCTGCAGACACCTCTCCAAGCTAACACAGGCATGCACACGTGTCGGCAGTGAAGGTGTGTGGCGGTGTTGGGGATGTGGTGAGATGGCAAACACGCGACCGCGGAAACTGCGCAAGCTGACGACGATGATCCCTCGAAAAACGCAATCGTGCACTCCAGACAAGCGAACGACAAGACACAAGACACAAGACACCCAATCCAGACAGAGTCAACCATTGCCAGCATGCTCGTGTGCGCCCACCTCGATCTTCTTTCCTTCCTGGCGCTTGCGTGCGGCGAGGGTGCCTGTCTTCTCCGTGACGGTTGTGCGCTTCGTCTCCAGGCGCTGCAGCAGCGTCGTCTGCGCATCCGAGAACGGCGGCATCTCCTCAAGCACAGCAGGCTGCAGTGGTGGAACGATGGGTGGATGGATGGATGGATGGATGGATGGATGGATGGATGGATGGATGGATGGATGGATGGATGGATGGATGGATGGGGGGTGGGATTGTATGATGACATGCAGAGCTGTGAGTTATGTGTGCATGGTGAAGCGTGTTCACTCAAGAGGTAACGAGAAAAGGTATCAGGGGCAAGGACAAGTCAGAGCAAAACAGCGACATGGGTGAAAACAACATTCGCAGTGCGTGCATCACGGCCCACTCACCACGACGTCTGTGTTTGAGGTCTGGAGGAGGTGCACGTATTCGTTTGCGCGCTGCTGCAGTTCCGCATCGGCGTTCTTCAGGAAATGCGACGTCTTCAGCACCTGTTGGTTGCCGAGCGTTTGTGTATGCGTGTGCATGTAATTGTCAATTGGGGGGGGGGGGATAAAGGTAGAAACGTTGAGGGAAGACAGATCAGAGGGTAAGCAGTACGGAAACACGAACCGACACAAACACACAGACACACAGACAGACAGAGACAGACATACACACAGAGACACCGACACAGACAGACAGACACACAGAGACACAGACACACAGAGACACACACACACACACACACACACACAGACACACACAGACACACACCATCCTCGGACGTACCTGAAGCACGTGGCTCTTGATCTCCGGGAAGAGGTTTGCCAGCTTGACATATGTGGAGAGGAGGAGGGCGCGCGTGCTGGCAGAGACCATCGGGTAGTGCATCTGAATCACCTCCAGCTGCTTCACGGGGCTGCTGTTGGGGTCGTTGGCAATGAGGTGGCCAAACTCGCCGAGGACATACCCGCCGACGTTGACCATGGCCTCGTGCACAGCGGGGTCGAGCAGCGCCTCAAAGCACGTCTTTGCAGCATAGTCCTGCACGTCTTGCCGGTTCACAATCACCTGATGGTGACGGCGGCGGTGAGGGAAAGGGGACGTGGGGGTGAGTGTTGTTGGAGGGAGTGGTGTTGTGTTGTGTCGAGGGGACGCGAGAGAGGGGCTTGCGCTGACGGCAACCATGATGACCATCATCACGACTTCGGTCATCATCATGATCATCACCATCACCATCATCACCATCATCATGATCATCCCACCATCACCATCATCATGATCATCACCATCATCCCATCACGTGAGGAGCGTACCTGAATGACGCGGTACCAGACCTCTGGAGCGACGTGGTCGCCGGCGCGGCGGATGAGGCGCAGCATCACGTCCACGTACCAGCTGTAGTCCTTCACAAACCGCTCGGCAAGGATCGCAATCTTCAGCACCTGCAGCGATGGCAGAGGAGGCGTACGGGCCGAATGGGGATGGTGGTGGTGAGGGAGACGGATGAATCGAGGATTAAAGCGAGAGGCATGCGGATGCACACACACACACACACACACACACACACACACACACACACACACACACACACACACACACACACACGCAAAGAGAACAGCAGCAGCAGCAGCAGCACGACCACGACCACGACCACGGCCACGACCACGACCACGACCACGACCACGATGACGATGAAAAACGCACGAGTTCTTCGCGGACGGAGTAGTCTGCGTGGTCGAGGAAGTTGAGCAGCTCGTCAACCACGCGCTCCACAGCCTCCGAATCGCACAGCGCATACAGCACATCCGCCGCACGCCGCTGCACAGTGGGGTCCTGAAACATGGAAGGAGGGTCATGTGGTGGCGATGAGGTGATGTGATGGGGTGGTCATGTGGTGGTCATGGGGTGGTCATGTGGTGGCGATGAGGTGATGTGATGGGGTGGTGATGGGGTGGCGATGGGGTGGTGATGGGGTGGCGATGAGGTGATGTGATGGGGTGGTGATGGGGTGATGTGATGGGGTGGTGATGGGGTGAGGTTGTACCAAGCGACAGCAAAAGGGGCAGGAGAATTAACAACACCAAAGCTACCACAACCCACCGCAATCCATCACCGTCTCATCACCACCACGGCCACCACTGCGGGCGTACTGATTCGTGCTTGAGGGCGCGGATGACCGAGGACTTGTGCCGCTTGACCGCCTCGTGCGAATACTCTGTCGTCGCCATCACAGACAGACTCTGCAGCGGGCGACACACGCGTGTGGTGCGAGTGCAAGTGCAAGTGCACATGTGTGTGTGTGTGAGCGTGTGTGAGCGTGTGTGAGCGTGTGTGAGTGTGCAAGTGCACATGCGTGTGTGTGTGTGAGCGTGTGTGTGAGTGTGCAAGTGCACATGCGTGCGTGCGTGTGTGTGTGTGTGTGTGCGTGTGCGTGCATGCGTGCGTGTGTGTGTGTGTGTGCGTGTGCGTGCGTGCGTGTCTGCGTGTGCGTGTGTGCGGATGGCGACACCTCGAGAGCGAGGAAGCGCATGTTTGTTTCCTTGTGGATGAGGAAGTCACCAAGCAGCGTGCACGCCTTGATCTGCAGGTCAGCATTGCTGTTGCGGCAACAGCATCGGTGGTGGTGGTGGTGGTGGTGATTGAAAGGGCGAGGCACGGTGGGGCAGGCAGAGAATGGGAGAGAGAGAGAGGGAGAGAGGGAGGCCGAAGGTGTGAGACAAGGTAGAGCGACTGCAACAGACAATGGCCGCAACACGATGACACGACATAGGTCTAGGCAAGTACATGTACATGCACGCACTTGTCGTAGTGTGCGATGAGGTTCATTGCCTCGAACATGCACGCGTGGTTGACGTTGAAGTACTGGATGCGCACACGTGTTGGCCGTCCGTCCTGGGGAATAAAAGACGAATGATGTCGTCATTGCAACACGAGGGGAGGATGTAGCGGTGAGGAGAATGGAGGGGAACAGCTGGTGTTGCAAGTAATCGCTCGATACACACACACACACACACCCACACCCACACACCCACACCCACACACCCACACACACCACACACCCACACACCCACACACACACCCACACACACACACACACACACACACACACACACACACACACACACACACACACACA